GATGGGGGAAGGGGGGATATCTCAACCTCGAACCCGTGGCTGTCCGTCCTCTCCTGATACTCACCCATGTGCTGCGTTATTACCGGCTGTGCCCTGGGGGCCTCGACCCGGATTGGAGTTTTTGGTGTTGGGGGCGGGGTGTGCTCCTCTGCGAGTGGTGACAAGGCAAACGGGGTCATGCACAACAAAATAGTGGCACAACAACACGACTCGCTCACTGACACTTTTGCTCAAACCACTGGTACAAGTCTAGGTTTTTTTTTAATGGCTGCCCAGCAACAAGGTCAGAGGTCAACTTTTGGACGCCAATGGAATACAAGAATGAGTACGAGTACATGTATGCCTGACAGTAAGTTGAAAGGAAACGAAAGGGAAGCGAATCATCAAACTTCTGTCAACACATGGAGACTGATTTCAGAGGAAAGAGAAAAAAAAAGGAAAACACTGTCGACAGGTTTTTGAAAAAAAATGTTTAGAGTTTAACAGTCCCCCACCAACACGTGTTGGGTTACCTTCGTAATAAAATGAAACACCAAATGCGGCAACATAGAAGAGTCGTACAAATGAAAATGACAACATTCAAAGATCCATCCATACCACAACACCATGCTCGGCAAATGCAACAAACACAGGTTGCTGATAAGGTCGCAGGTACATGTACCCGTGTGCACACAAAAACACTGCCTCTGCCAAAGAGGCAACAAATGCTACAATTTACGACCGCATCTCACTGGGTCAGTTGATGTGTGCCGAACTAGCATGCCACAAAGCAGTTTCGAGACCAGAACTTACATGTACCTTGCAATGGAGTTCCAATGTATAAACCCTTTATTTAAACCAGACATTTTTCCCTCCCTTCCTCCAAGTTGTTGATGAGACTTCTTTGCAGTGCAGTCGTTAAGTGCAAGTTCCATTCACTGCATCGGTGCAAAAACTTAACCCCTAACTTTTGTCCAGTATTACGGAACGACCTTTACGCAATTCTGTTGCAGCCAGCATATTAGGAGAGAGCTTTTCTACACCGACTCAAACTTCGCCATCAGCATTGTCTTTTGACACCGACCTATAAGGTCATTGCATGTGCCATCCAGCTAACGGCAACATGACACATGATGCCGAGCGTGAACAGCTGATGGAATACGGTACTTTGGAAGTTACATGTCACGATACATTGTTGCCATGTGTGGAAGGGGGATTCATTTGCATTTGTATTTATAGTCTTGGTTCCAAGATCATTACTATCTGTGCTGGTGCAGTATATTATATGAATGTGCTGTAAATTGTGCCAGTCAACAGAGGGCGCTTTGTGACAGACAAGGGTCTGTATTAATAGTAACAATGATCTTGCACAGTCGGCCATCACATAGGGCCCTCTGTTGACTGGCACAATTTACTGCACGAAAGCGCTCATTTAATACACAAACATAGATAGTAACGTCTTGGAAGCAAGGCTTTTGTACCGGTACTTGCTGTGGTCAACAAACCCACAGATTTACAGGTGCCATTAACATCAGCTTAACCATGCTTTGAAAACTCTTGTGTACTGCTGACATCGCACACAGGTAGCTCACACCATTTTCTACGCCTGGAGCAGTGCATTTAGGGAGAAGCATTTTCCATCTGTGCTACAAGTGAGCACTTTTTCGTGAGAATGACCACAAAAGCTGCCTTTCCCTTGTGCCTTTCAACCGAGTCTGTATACCAAGTCTGAGCAAAATTATGGAGAAAATGAAGACACACATTTGCACTGCACAAGAACGGAAACTTCAACAGAAAATGAAAACCGCACTCTTTTTTTCCAGTTCTGGTGATAAAACTACGAGGTGAACTCATTGAGTACAAAAGGATTTGTGAAGACAGACAAACAACAAGCAAAGGACTGACAATGTACAGAAATCTCCTGTTAACCAAACAAAGAAACAGTACTCAAATGATGATGTTTTGGTGGGGCTGAAGCGAGCGGTTTGCGACTTACCCACGGCCTGGCTCAGCCTCGCTTGCTGCCGGTTCTGCGGCGGGGCTTGGGGCAGCTGGGCGCTGAGCGGTCTGCCCGGCTGACGGCCCTGGGGTTGTTGCTGCTGGGCCTGCTGCTGCTGTCTGGCTGGGGGCGGGTACTGCTGCTGCTGGGGTAGCACCGGCTGCTGCTGGTGGGGGGCCCGGCTCTGCTGGGGCGCCTGGCTGGGGATGGGCCGCAGGTTGTCTGGGGGCCGGTAGCGGGGGGCGGGCGACTCCCGGCGACGACCCTCTTCCGCCTGCAGCCGCTGGAAGTTCTTACGCAGGGTGGCCTCGCTGGGGCCAGGCAGCATGGAGCTGAAAAGGACACAAAAAATCCAAGAAATATAACAGACAAATCCGAGGGAACTCCATTACTGCAGCAGCTCGGCACTCACGTGCATCCTTCAACTTCCACAAGTGTGCATTTTGGCAAGCCTCAAGTCCCTATTGGTTAAAGGGGAATGTAAAGTGTCTGCACCACATGCAGGCATGCATGGTACCATCCCGGTCATAGTTTCCACTTCTGGTCAATGGATTAGCCTGGGCACAGACAGTTGGGAACACTTAAATTGCTAGCATATTGATGTGCTCAGCACAAATCAGCTGGGAGCCAGTCAGAAAAACAATATAACTTACATGAAGGTTTGCCCGGTGACCTGCTTTTGCTCAGCAAATATTTTCAGTGGTTAGCGAACACGGCAGGGTAGCCCTATGAAATTGGCATCAGTGGCCAAGACACTTAGTCCATGTCCAAATGACTTGGCTGTGGCTTGAAATTACACACGATTCTACGGGGAATAGCTGCAGCTATAGCCATAGACTCAACAGCATTCAATGCAGGGGCTAATATGAGTTGCCTTATGATGAATGCTGACTGGTCTTCAACATGAGTTATTTGACCCAACTTGAAATATTCCGGCAAGTTCTTCCTCAACTCTACCAATTCTGGCAAAATTAGTTCACAGGACATCTCGCAACGGACCTGACCTTCACTTTAAGAAAGTTTTTTTGTCAACGACTTCATAAAATGAACAACGCAAACAGAAAGCTAATTTGGTTACCTGGGTTCTCCTTCGTCTTCAATTTCTCCGTCCTCTTCACTCTCATTACTGTTGTAGTCATAGTCAGTCGCTGAATCCTCCACTGGAAAGTGAAGGGGAAAGTTGTGTAAATTATGCGACTCCCGCGTTGTCATATTCTTTTGAACTGTGACGGATGATGCAATTTCTAGTCAGAAGAGCGTGAAATGACTCACAAATCAATTTCTCCCCAAATGCAAAAGACAGCAAGTGTACAAATGTATGAAAAAACTCCCAGATATCCGATCAGCCCAAAAGAGAGAAAAAACTGGGGTATTCCCCAAGAAAGAGAAAAGACTTCAAGTCTGCAAAACTGAACAGGTGCTTATCAATTTGACCTTTAACCCCCAGAAGATAACAACGCATCCTTCATTGGAAATATTCAAGTTTTCTGCCAATGAACGAAAAACACTGTGACTGTGCACGAATCACATTCAGGAAACACGTGAAAAACACACGTACCGTACCAACAAAAGATTAAGGAAGATTTAACAATTTCCAGTGAGACACTGGTGTTTGTGAGTTCCGAGTGCCACGAGTTTGAGAGAAACTCGTGGTCCGGTTGAAAACGAAAAATGAGTTTCAGCACCAAGTACAGGAGTGTACGTGTAAAACATTACGCTACATACACACAAACAGTTCATGACATGACCAAGGTAAGCACATTCACCAAACCCTCCCTCCAACAAGATGCAAAGCATGAACGGTGAGGTGTCACCGTAACACAGGAAACATCAAGGGGATTGAAAATAAAAGAAGTTTACATTTGTCCACCAATTGGGTGTCATGCAAAACTGTTTTGTGGTTTCAAAACAAAATTGGTATTTTTGAAAGTAGCTTATTCCACCTGGACAAATCCAACGAGCAAAACTTCACAAATCTGCAACATAGGTGTATTCAAAGTCTTCAAATAATACCAGCAAAAAAGGTTGCAATAGGCTTGAACTTTTCAACAAAGCGTGACCCTGAAACAAAAAGGGAGGAGGGGGTAGTGGGGATATGAAATGTATTACCGTGTATCGGCACAGTGATTCCCTGTCCTACGGCCGCAGGAAAATGTCACGACACAAAAATTAGGCTCAGGCATCTCATCAAATGAAACTACACTCGTTAATTTGTTGCCCAAAACCCTAAGCTGGGTTGATTTTTCTTTTTTTTTCACTTATAAGCAAAACGTTGGCCAGAAATGATACAAAAGAGAGCTCCTTTGCGCAAAAAGTATGAAACCTTTGCGCGAAAAAATTTTCAACAGGTGGAACACTATGTTAAATCATGTATCTATGCACACAACATCAATCGAGCCACTCCAAAAAGTTGTTCTAACAAAAATATTCCACCTGGCCCACAAACTACTTTTTTTTCACGTCAAAATCGAAATCCTGTACAAACAAACACATTTTTGAAATTCAATCATGAAACTCTCCTGTATGAATCCTGTTTTATTTCAGGTCAAAATGATGCGAGATAAGCACTCATATGTGGCAAAAGGTTGACCTACATGTACAAATTTTCTTACACGAGTGCTTGCTACAGAGAGAAATGCAAAAACAGGACGGCAAAAGTAGAATTCCTCAGGCATTCTATTAAATTTTGTATCACACTTTGCCAATACGAACAACGACTTGGAAATACTCATTGAATCTGTTTTGAAGTGAAACTCAAATTTCAAGGGAAGGACTTTCACTCTTGACAGCTTGGCTGTTTCAAACTCACGATAACAAAATTTTTTTTCTTTCCTGAAACTGACAAGCCCGCTGGAAAATTTTGGGGCCACAATTTCACAAGATTGGCTGAGATTCTGACCTCTCTTTTTCTTGGTGCGGTCAATGTGGTCCTTCAGCTGGATTCGAACCTGCCTCTCGTTGGGCAGGTCCTTGATGTACGGGTGCTTCAGGAGCAGTGTGGTGTTGGGGCGATCGTGGTAGTTCTTCACCAGGCACTTCTCCACAAAGTTGATGAACTTCTTACTCCTGTGTTCCACAAGGAGAGTCGGTGGCCTTACCATTTAGGGATATAGTGCAAAATTGTCCTACACAGAAGACACACTAATGGGGCAGCCTCATGGAATTTCTTTTCATTTAAACACACTTTGACAACGTTTTCAAGTCCAATTTAGCATCAATTTTTAGCGGTTGTCGTTGTATCATGGGAAGTTATTATATTAATGCAACACTCATGAGACCAGAAGTTATGTCACGTCAGGGCAGACATCCTGGACAGTGTCGGAAGAAATCATCTCTTACCATTTTTTGCTCTTCAACTTGGGCGGCACGTTCCTTGGGATGAGGAAAAGTGCCCTCATGGGGTGCATGTCGCAAAGGGCTGTAAGGAAAAAAAGTTGTTTCAATTGATAATAAGTTCCAAAAGTGGCACGTAGAAAGAAAAGGTGGAAAGAGAAAGAAAATGGACAAAAAATCTGAACGAAATTTATAGCTGTTCATGATAGGTATAAACAGCTGAAAAAGTAGGAAATAATTTCAAAGTAAAAATTATGAAGTTGACCAGCAACCAAACCAACTTTGGCTATGAATTTAAGGGGTTGATGCTTTATTTTCATAATCACACAACAGTTAATTCATGGTGAAAATATGACAGGCTTTTGTTCAACAAGGCTTGTTTGCTTTCCTTCCAGCATTTTCGGATGAAGCAACGAGTTCAATACTGAAAGTTTCTTCAACAAAATTCTGTAAATGACACCAAGGGACCAACTCCAAACTAAAACTTTAGAAAAACTTACGGGGCTGTCCCTCGGCCATCTCCAGTGCGGTGATCCCCAGGGACCACAGGTCACTGCGGTTGTCGTAGGTCGCGTCAGGGTTTTCATCGCAGGCAATGACCTCGGGCGCCATCCAATACGGGGTACCGATGAAGGTGTTGCGGCGACCGATGGTCTTGTCCAGTTGGGCGCTCACCCCAAAGTCAACTGGAGAAGAAAGGAAGGGGTGGGATAAGACAAGGGGACAGACAATTTGAATTTAAGTTTCACAAATTTTGGCTTATTTATCAACTCCTAACCCATTTCGACAGAAAGTGAAGTGGCAAAAAGTTTACACTCGAGAAAAATAAAATATACACAGTGCAAAGCAATTTAATATTAACATGTGGATATTAACAAGTGAAAGAGGCTGACCTAGTTTGACCTCCGCATCCTCTGTCAGGAGTACGTTCTGCCCCTTGATATCTCTGTGGATGACATGGTTGGCATGGAGATGACTTAGACCCTAAAAGACAGAAAACACAAATACGCAGACAAATTATTAGAACTATATGACACAAATTATACATAACATACACTGTACATGTACAATAATCTAGTGCATGGGGAGGGGGGTACGTACTCAGAAGAAGGTCATTCCATATATGAGGGGTCCAAAAGTGTGATTTTCTGGTGTCCCTGTTACACCTGACCCGTGTAATTTGACATGGAAATATGACTGTTATGTGCATCACTGAAGCCAACTTTGAAACACGTGTATTGTTACTTGTTTGGTAACTTAAATTACTTGATNGAACCGGGGAATAACTCGACGTTTCGAACAGTGTACTCTATCCGTCTTCAGGATCACTCTCGGCAACTGAAGCCTGTGTATGCAAAAGCATATACGGGGACGAGAAACAAATTGGACTCTGAAATTTATAGAATAACCCAGAAAGATCCTGTGTTTGACAAGGATCACATCCGTGCATGAGGCTAACAACCCAGAGGGGAATGATTCCTTCAATTTAAAAAAAAAAAATCACTGTTTCGTTTTTTGAACGATCTGTAGGAATGACAAGACAATTGAACTGTATTTCCGCCTTTGTGGGAAGTCACCTTGAGATGAACAAGTTTTTTCAGTTTTCATTTTGTCCGTGACCAAGTCACCAATTCAACACAGCTTGGCTTTTGATCTCAACACAAATAAACTTGAACTCAAGACTCAATTTCACTCTCACACTGTGTTCCCACGCTCATGATTTAAAAATGAGAATGTTAAAAAAACAACACTAAAATTACTATTTTGCCAGGAGATGTGGCACCCACAATAGTGGGTCCATTTCCTTGCACTCAGCAACTGATATTTCGAGGCACCAGTCCAATTTCTTAGATGGCATGCTGCTGTGTGTTTATTAAACGTCTAACATTTGAAAGTCCTGGATATTTCCCAATAGGCATTGCTCAGCATGAACTGATGACACTATCAAACTGGAGTGATGCGAAAGTGCTAAAACAAACTTCCCCTCTTCCTGAAAATGTAGAACCGACAGTCTTTTGCATGCTATGCTCTGTCATCTTTTTCTTCTGAAGTTTCCGACGTGAGCTTTCCCATCGGAAACCCGAGGTAAGAGAAACCGAAAACACCATCTGCATCTGCACGCGCATTCTCGCCAATAAAACAAGCCACTCTGGCAACCAATCACCACTGGCTGCATTCTGTTCTGCACAGTGCAGATGGAAACAGAGAGTCTGCAGTTAATCAAAGGCAACTACGGGTATCGTATTTCTACATGGTCGCTTGCTATTCTCTCATGAGAAACACGGCTCTTCCCCTGCTCTCAAAAATGCAAGGCTTCGTTGTCCTGGCAATCACAACATTGGCGTCGTTGTCCTTGGTCGCCAATGCCACTGACGAGGACTGCCACAAAAAAATTTGCGAGTTTAATGCCACGGAAGGCAGCGACGTCCAGTTTACGTGCAAGAGTGCATGCAGGGGTAAACACAAACCAGCCAATGAAAGCTTTCAGTGGTTCTCAGTTTTTAAATGCACGGGGAGGCATCTCCAAGTTGTTACAGCGGACACCAAGCGCTCCATATCCTGGACTGAAAATTCTACAACTCTCCGTTTGTCTAATGTTAGCATAGAGGATGCCGGTGTGTATAAATGCAAAGCCCGACAAGAAAACTATTACATTCTCCGCATAGATGTGATCGACCCTCCGAATAAAAACCTGACTTGGCCACCCCAACTAGGAAATAGGGAGATAGCCACCATCAGTCCGGTCCAGCTGACAATCACTGCTTCTCAACACAGTCAAGGGCAGCCACAACCGGCGACACCACAGCGCAACCAAGATGCCATCCCTCCCTTGGCAACTGATGCCCGTCACCCCGGGCAACTTCAGCTCTGGATTGTCGTCTTCGGGTCTGCCAACCTTCTGCTGCACGCCGTCACGGTGTCAGTGGTGGTCTACCTGTGCACGCACCTGGGCCACCCTGCCAGCATGCAAACACCAACCACTGGATCGAGTTCAACAGAGGCAGTGTCTCTGAACCCCATGGGGGTGGTGGAATCCCTCGTCGTGCAGACGACAGAGGATGATCAGAATGCGGAGCTGACCAGTGAAATTTGGATGGGGTAGAAAAAATCCCATGCAATTCTCAACGCTCCTATTCTCGGGACTCTAAAACTCCTTAATCTGTTCACTTGTGAAAGACATTAAGTCAAATGAATGACGTCATAAATCGGATTATCTGATTAATTATGTTAATTGGCTACGACAAAAACTAGAATCTACCAAAAATCCAACACAGTACAATATCTGTATCTAATGGTGTAGTAATTTGTACAGTGCAGTCTCTGATAGACACATTGTTTGTACAGGTTCTTGTACAAACCTCAGACATCCACAGCGAGGGTCCCAAAGCCTCCGAGGGCATGCGGTATCAACTCAAGGGAAATGCTGCAAAATCAGGATTGAATTTTGGCAGATTTGGGAAACTTGGGTTTAGTTGTCAGTAACTGAATGACCAACCAACTAGAGATGCTTGAGATGAACAGCATCTTTCTTTTACATTTTTTTTTAATCAATTCCCCACCTGGAAGAAGATCATTATCAAAGGATGATTATGGGCCGTTTTCCAATACTCAACTTTGTCTCCCTCTCAGGCTTCATGTAGGAAACCAATCCTCGATTGTGAGCCTGAAGCGTTGAACTTAAATTGAAGTACTGTAATGTCAGGCTCTTTTGCATCTTACTTGATGTCTTGTGGCACTATCAGACTTACTGTTGCGCTTACAACCTCAAAGTCAGGAAGTAAAAAACCGGTTGAAGCCTGAGACGGAGCCCGAGTCGAGTATCGGAAAACGGCCATGGTTCACATGTACCTAGCTTCAAGCAAACTTGTATTCTCAATTCTGATTGGTCAATCCATGGCAACAAGTACTGATATGTAAGAGTATCACACAGTTCATATCAAACCCCTTGTAATGCGCTATTCTATTGCCGCGCACCGCTCTACTTTTACTCTAAAAGCAACACACACATCTGCAAAATTCACTGTAAATTCAAAAGTGGCACATTTGGGTGCATAGGCCCCTGGAACATCTTCACTGCGCGTCAAGCTTGCTTGAAGATAAATTCATTGTCACGCTTGCGCTTGTGGAACACGGAATATTGATGTGCGACTGTGTCCTGCATACCACATGGCCGAGGGCCTTCATGGTACACGGGTCACAGGTGCACTACATTATTCCCTGTTCTACCCGTGCTTGTGTGATACAGCTCTCGTGTGCATATCATAAATCAATACGACAGCAATCGAGAAAACAGTAAAACTGCAGTACACTGTACATTGGTTGACGTAAACTGATAACTCCTTTGTCCAACAATAAGCAACACAGCGGTTACCTTTTTTGATTTCACGTATACGAACACAGGTGTGTACATGTATCAGTGATGTAATCGGACCTGAATTGTATTAATCTGTATTTCCGATTCTGCTTCAATGCACTGTTACACCCATATCCTGACCATGTAATTTCACCTCAATCTTATGTTAGTGTGAAATAATTTGTTATCTCATTGCTCGCTGTAGGTCAACTGTACACATTCTAATGAATACCGGCAATTAAATAATGATAACTTTGAAAAAAATTTGTACCAAATTGGTTGATCTACATCTACAGTGCTGTATGTGCCTGAACTGAAGCATTTTTCTGTCTACAATTTCAGTTGGGCGGTTTGTAGTCTTGAGGAGTCGCACGCAGTCAGCCGCGCTCAAAAGATGAAATTCTGGAAGACAGGACAAGCACTGAGCCAACTTCCCTCCTCCTCTAACAAAATTGCCACAACTGCCTCAGGGCAAAGACCAGGTCCCCCATATTCCATCAGTCAAGTTTTAGATCTCGATGTGCAGCTTGAAACAGCATTTTGGTGAAGTAGCCTCTCTTTCAATTTTCAGGTATTGGAGTACACAAGCAATGGCCAAGTTCAACCTGCGACCATTTTGGCAATCACTGGTTGACTGTGCGCAGCACATGCACCGCCCTACGCACAAAATACTTCATGGTTACCGTGCACAATTGACCAGTGGGTGCGTACCGGCTGAACTTTACCACACTGAACACGTATAGAGGTTCTTCACGTGATGTAGCATGATGGGCAAAGAAATTTCAGGAAGCGTAACATGTCCATGGAGGTGCATGCATTTTCCAATGTGAATTTCTATTGGGCAGTTTTACGTATGCCACAATATTGAGAGACTTTGAAATCGCGCGCGTTTCCGCGCACATCCGTGTATACTGAATGCTGACCATCAAACATCACATGACAGAAAGTCCTCTATACTCGTAGTAAGACCATGTCTGGAACGGGCTTTCAGAGATTCCGGTATGGCTAGGTCTATTGTCAGTGCATCTCTGTGTATTTCCAATGGAGTGAAGACTTAGACCTACAACCCTGGACAAATCTCCTTGGAACATGCCTCCCCCTCGCCCCCAGTCAATGTTGTTTCTCAATGGGTCGGCTGGGCCGAATCTTGGTCCAATAAATGACCGCAACGTTGAACGGGGGAGAAGGGGGATCTTTTCACTGCGCTTCCCACAAGGTGTTCCAACTATTTTGTCCAGGATTGTAGCCCCCCAGACAACAGATTCAGATGGACCCTAAGATGGAGAAGGGTCTCTTTGTCTCACATGCAATCTCCATCAGCAATCCCTAGTTGGTTTCCGGATACCACAAACTGCTTATTGGATGGAGTGAACCAGCGTTGGGATCACCAATGGAGCCCCTCTGTTACCAGTCTCGGAGAACTGTTGCACCACCAGAAGTCCTCTCCTGTGCCTGTCTTTGCCTCTCATGCCTTCCGTGATAAAACTCATCCAACCCATTAAAAGGGACTCTCAAAGAACGGTGTTGCCGTGTTCCATGTCCACAATTTTTGTATGGGGACTGCCAACCTGCAGATGACATTTCTTGATGGTGCACATGATTAAAACATAAATTACACGAACATTTGCCC